TCTGCCTTTGTGAAGCGCTATGAGATGACTGTTGTTGTAAATATGCGCTATACAAATAAAATTGAACTGAATCTTTAAATTTGATTGTGTTGCTGAAAGCTGATCATATGTGATTCTATCTCCACAACTTCCACCAGAAGAATCAAAGGGATGTGTAAAGTAGAGCTGCATGATCACGGCCGCAACGATCATAAACGCTGACTTTCATCAACACTGACATCGTGATCATGTCTCACCATCATTCATTGGTTCTTTGTTGCACGTTCCTGTTCACATAAACTGAACTTTATAATAATAATAATAATACTTTATGCATTTAGAACAAAGTCACTGCATCTCCTGGAGACAACATTTAGACAAAACCGTACCAAACTGCCTGAGCTGCTCACAAGCTCCAGATTAAAGGCTCGGAGCTGGACGGCTGTGCACATGAATTTAAACATCACAGTCGATCGTGTTTATGTCATCGTGATCATGGCACATCTGAGTAATTGAGTGTAAACTATGATCATCCTGTAGGCGCCATGTTGAGCCCTTTATAACTCACCGACCCACTTGTGGAAACTCAAAACTTCAACCTTCACAAAGGAGGAAACGAGAAACTTGAATGGAGAGGCTCATTTCTTAAAAACTAACCTTCAGACAAAATTAGCTCCCGTCTTTCATTGTAAGCAGACAAACAAAATGCATTCAGATGTGGCTTTAATCCTGCTCAGCTGGCTGCCAGATCGCACTGAAGGCTGACTGATTCCTCGTTTCAAATCAAAATCACAACTTGAAACAACGCAACGAGCAAACTGCAAAAGCTGCAGCTCAGGACAAACGTTGAGCTGCGTGTCTGACCCTGTTCTGAAAATGTGTGTCAAAGGTTTTGCTGTCCCGCTGTGTGACAGTCATGCTTGGTGCTCCAGCACGTCTTCATTTTACAGACAGAATGAGTGTGCTTCCAAAAAAATCTGATCACCAATCAAACTGTATGATGTCCGAAAACTTGCAATTAGAATAAGTTTACTGCCGTCCACTGGTGCACGATTAAAGCCAGAGAAAGCCTTCCAACTGGCTGATGTTTGAAATACTCCAAAATGCTAAAAGTGCAGCATTGTGTTTCCATTAAGGCTGAACCAGCTGCTGATGCTGCACTTCACGTCCAGGACGGGGTTAATGCTTGCTAGCAAGTTAGCAGCTAGCACTAAAATTAACCTCGTCCACAGCTGGCTCCCATTAGGCTGCACACAGAGCCTGGACCTCTCCACACACACACATTATATCCAGTCGCCAAGCTGAACCTGGCTGTGCTACCCTTTGGGTTTGGCACCATCTGTGTTTGGAAATGAAGGCGGGAAAGAGGCAGAAAGGAGGCGGGAGATGAGATGGAGGATGGAGGCAGCGAGTAGTGGGGGATGTACGGTGGGAACGAGGGGAAAAAACCCAGTGGGGGATGGACGGAGGGACAGACGGAGCAGACAGACGTGCAGCGTGGAGGTTTATATAAAATGCCACAAGAATAACAAACAGGGGAAAGAACGGGAAAGTTAAAAGAAAGAAAATATGTGGGGGGAAGCAATAAAAATAAAGAAAGAGTCGTATAAACAGCAACCTGGTAGCTCCGTTTCAGTCAGACCTCATGAGCTACTGTCTGCTTCACTCCACGTTTCCCTGCTGACCTTCACTGAAGACTCCTTTATCGTCGTGTCTACATTCACAGCCGGCGTCACTCTGCAAGTTTTTGGCTCCACACAATATTTTGCAGCCAATAAAAAGTCGGATCACATTGCGAAACATATAACCGAGCATCGTGGATCTGCGGGTGTGTGGGTTCGCTGTGACAGTAATTAAGCGAAGGAGTTGCACCGTACACAGGATCTCTGCCTCGGCTTGACAGTTCTGCTCTGCAGGGAGGTCCGGTGGGATCTGGAGGCAGGGCACGAGCGCCAAACACTGCAGAAAACGCTCGCTGAGTGCACAATTAAAAGGCTCCGCGCTGGAACAGCACAGTGGATTGCTTTTTTTTCCCAAAAACAATATTTCTCTCTGCAGCACATTGTGCTGGAAACCACATCAGCGCTCGCCTGTCCTTGGAATGTAAATTAATATTACATAAAACGAAACCTTAGACTTGTGTCTGTTCTTGAGGCGAGCACGAAAAGAGACTCATTGATCTGGATGAACTTATTGTGAGCTGCTATGCTGGCACAGAACGTTTTCCAGCTGGAAAGATGAAAACGGATCAAGAACCAGAGCAGCCTGTTTACCAGGGTCAGGCCCATCAGAACCTCTCAGACTGCTGTACATTGAGGCCTCATTAAAACTTCATACATCTGTGAGCACTGTGGAGGTGACGAAGATGAGGATATCGTCTTACATACAAACAATCGTGCTTTCTTTCTTTGTCTGACACCAGTAAACACACACATCACCTCAGAAACTCTATGCAAAGTGCCCACTACCCATTAACACACACACAGAGCTCCCCACCATCAGGGCGCTGCCGTTAAATAATTAACCGTGTGAGATTAGTCCGTCAGCCTTGGGGCACGGAGGTCCATCGATTCCCCACAATGCATTTTTAATGAGCCGCCAGCCGGCATTCATTTCAGCTGGCCAGTGTCCGTGGAGGCCCTTCTGACACACACACACACACACACACACACACACACACACACACACACACACACACACAGTCCAGGCTGGGCGCCAAGGGACACAATTAACATGCACATAAACAGAGCAGCACCGCTGTACGGAGCAGCGGCTATCACCTCGACAACACAGCCAACTAACATCTTCAAAGTTGTGTAACTTTGATCCTGACGGAGCAAACCGGGTTTTCATGGTGAGTTCACCTCCTCAAGCAGGACCATAAACACCAAGAAGTGCCGGTTCAGGGTTCAGCTGTGCAGAAGCATGAAGCTGATCACGAATGGACGGATCTTTTTAATTTGCCTCTGTAGAGCCGTTTCCAAGCCGACACCCAAATCAATCCTGTCCAGGGTCTCTGGCTGGAACCAGGAGCGTACAAACGCTTACTCCTAAAGTCACATGAAGCTTTTGTTGCCGTTGCGTCAGAGTCATTTTCATTTCTTGAAATAAAAAAGGAAGTGAAAGCACGAGAGCGGACAGACATTCTTCTGTAAAAGTTTCACAATTGCAGACGTGACAGCAAGTCGGTGAATCACATGACTGAACAAACCCAGCTGATGCTGAAATCAGCTGTTTGGATGCTCCTCGGACCACATGAGGGCTCAATCTGTCACACTTCCTACCTTTCCTGTCTCTCTTTCAAAGTCGACGTAATCCCTTGTAGGAACCTGCCTCTGGTCGCCGTGGAGATTGGCGGGAAAAAACTGGAGCGAGAGGTTGGTGCCAGTTGCTACAAAGGCCTGAGGAGAAAGAGAGGGAGAGGAAGTGTGAATTCAGTCGCAAACAACAAGAAATTTGAACCGCGAGGGGGCAGAAGCTTCAATAAACATCCTCCAACATACAGCAGTGATGGCTAACGGGGCAGCTGCAGGCACACAGCAGCAGCAGCACATCCCAGCTTCACTGTTTTTAGGTGTTCACCAACTACAACAAACGTGTTCTATGCTTCCGTCAGAAACAGAAGAAACAACAACAACTGCTGCTGTCAGCTTCTTCTACCGTCCTCTGTTCAAGTAACAGACACATCTCCACAGTTTGATCTGCCACCATGTTGTCGCTGCCTCTCTGATAATGAGGGAGCTGCTGTGTGCCGAGGCAGAGGCGTGATTTCAGTGCTCAGTGTTTGTCTGTCAGCAGAAATATGCAACAAAACCCACCAGGCTGAAATGCATGAAACTTGGTGGAGCTACATAGATTCCTTTGTGTATAATTGCAAAATAGGACATGAGTTTTCAGAGAGGACGCTCTTCAAGTGGACTTCTAGTTACGTTAAAAGGAAGCTGGATCATCAGTTAACACAACTACACTCAAATGTATAGTCTGGCCCAAGAAACCAAGTCATTAGCCGAAGAAGCTAAAAGCGCTCTGGAAACACGATGGAGATTCCATTAATCAGAAACCAGCACGCCACTGGTTTCACATTTCAGACAACCTCAGTTTTACACAGTTGTACAACGTCATCCATGGGTCTGGATGAGCTTCATCACGTCTGAGACAATCATCTCAGAGTCACGGCTACGTCTCAGCTTGGGGCCTTGAGACTACAAGCACGAGGTGGGTCAGAAAAGTTCCAGGACTGGTGTCACTAAAGACATATCAAACCCAAACTACCAGTGTTCTCCTTCCCAGTAACCCCCCTGGACTCTACCACCCTCCTCCAGCCTTCTCTTCACGCCGCCATGCACTCCTGGAAGGATTCT